TATATAATTCTTATTTACAATATTTTTAGCTGATTTATTCCATTTAAATATAAGATTTCAAATAGACAAGATTCTTGTGAATATTTAGCTATTATTTCTTTAAATCGCAAATACAATATATAAAATTTTATCAAAACATATATAATTTGATAATGTAATATAATTTAGCAAATATATACAGTATATATGGCAAGGTAATATAATTCAGCAAAGTATTATAATTTAGCAATATATATTTGACAAGATAATAAATTCATCAAAGTAATATAATTTGGCAAAGTCAAAATATATACAATATATATATTTGGTGCAAAAAATTAATTATCCATTTTACTGTCGAAATATTAACTTCTTCAAAATGGAGTTTAAAAAAAATATACTATTTATGTGTTGAAGAAATTATATATCATTTTATAGTTGAAAATAAAATTATATAAATTTGATTAGTTGAATTATATATTTTTTTGATAAATAATTGACGAGTGATATTATACTGAATAAATTAATTTTGACTAGTGATAAAGTGAAACAATGAAATAATAAACTAATATTTTATTTTAATTATTTTAATATCTTTAAAATTCTATACTAATAATTAAAGAAACTAAAAGTAAAACAAAATAGAACTATTGATATTTGTAAACTTATATTATTATAATATCAAATACCTTTTGGAATTAGGTATTATATGTTTTAAGTATAATAAAAAATTATTAACTCAAGATATTTCAAGTTTCAGATATTCTAGAAAAATATAGTTTGAATTATTGTATTTCTAAAGTATTGCTCCTTCTATTGGCTTGTTTATATTACTTGTATTATACATCTCATATTACTTACTTTATCAATAGTATTGTTATATTTTGTTATCTTTAAAATTTAAATTTTTTGTAAAATATTTTTTTATTTCTAAAAATTATTATTATTATTATTTAACTTTACTAACTTGAAATCTTGTCTGTTAAACTTTATTAATATTATTGTTGAAATTTATATATATTATATAAAGTATATCTAAGTATACTATTATATTAACTCTGTCTATATATAATAAGCTATATTAAGATTTTTTCAAATATTAATTTATAGTTAATTGGCTTGTTCTATAATATATATAAGATATATCAATTCTAGTATGTCAAAATTTTATTAGTATATGGTTTATATTATATTTAGATTTATTTAAAGGAAATATTAAGAGAAAAAAAAATAAAAAACAGAAAATAATATCAATTCTTGATAAATAAAATCCTATCAAAAGTTTATATTATTGATCTGTATTACTTGTAACTAACTTTTAATCATTTAATTTATATTTTTTTGTTATAATTCAAAGATATTTAAGATACTTATAATTATAGATTTATAATATACAGTAGTTTTTATGATTACTTGAAAATATTAGATGTCTTTTTAAGATAAGTAGTATAAAAGTAAACTTCTTACTGGATTGAAATAAAATCTTTATATAATTTTTTTGTATAAAAGATACCAGATATTATAGAAAGCAATTATTAAATCAATTTATACTTAAATATAATATCTTTAACATTTTATAACTTTTAATAATTATTATAATATTAAACTTGATAATTATTATCTTACCATATTTTTTTTGAAGGTCACAATCTTAATACTTATTGAATTAGCATGTGAACTGGCTTTTTATAAGAAATAATACTTTAACAAGTTATAATATCAAATATTATATTAATTCTTTTCAATTATTTTTATTTAGGATTAAATTAATATCTTGTGATTTGACTTATGAATTATGAATTATTGTATTATGAATTTATAGAATTTGTATTTAGAAATTATTGAAATAATTGAAGCAGATTTTAATAAATTACTTATATCAATATTATTATTATTATTATTATAATTTGTTAAATTATTATTTTCTTTATATAAATATTATATATTATTAGATAAATTTATATATTTTATTTTTAAATAATATTTGAATTATTAAAAAACAAACTGGATTAATTAAAGTAGTTAAATATAAAGTTATAACACTAAAATAATTTTAAAGAAAAATTTTGTTAATATATAAATAAAACTTAATAAAATTTTTTGCAAGGATAAAAAAAATAAATATTAAAATTTTTTTAATATAATCTTTTATATATTAATTAAAAAAAAAGTTTTTTATTTTAATTTTTTAGTTAATTCTATTTAAATAAAATAAAATAGTTATTTAATAATTTATATAGACTAAGTTATATCCAATTTAAATTTGATTCATATTTGATTGGATTTAAAAATTAAAAATTGGATTTAATTCAAATCTGATTGGTTTATAAATTTTAAAATTCAAATTGATTCAATTTATATCAGATTTATAAATTATTCAAATTTAAATAAAATTAGCAGAGGAAATTATAACTAATATATATTTAGATTGTTATTAATTGATATATATAATCCTATTTATTTTGCTGTGTTTTTTTTAAAAATTATTATTTTTATTGAAAATTTAATAATAAATTTAATAACCAAATTTAAAAATCATTTTAAGTAAACTTATTCTTTCTATTTTCAAATATATAAATATAAAATTTGATCTTATTTTATCATTTAGTTATTGAAATATAATAAAAAATACTAAAATATTAAAAAACAGGTTTTTTTGTTTCACCTTGTATATACAGTATATTAATTATTTATTAAATAGTTTCTATAAAATTTAAAAAATTATTAAGAGTTTATATTTTATATATAAAAAAAAATCTGATTACAAAATAATAAATCAACCATGTAACGCAAGCTCCACTAAAAACAAAATATTTTAAGGAATACCGTATATATACATTTAGCGTGATCAAATGTTTTCGATAGACGCTTATCATATGTCGATGGTTTTGCACGCGAGCATATGCGAACATGTAATTCTAGGAACCTAAACGCGCCGATCAAATAATATTTTTAATTACGCGAATTTTTGTACATGATAGATTATCATTACAAAACAATCTATAATTGTTTCTTGAGAATACATTCGTTAATATAATATATCTATTTCTATAAATATTTGATGATAAAGAAAAAGTGGTCGCTGTATTGTTAGTAGAGAAACTTTTGTATGGTGTAACGATATTTTTTTTACAGTATCTTGTAAAACCATGCAATTGTATTCATGTAGGTGATGTCCGAATGACACAAAAAGCTCTGCTCTACTAAAGAAATATCTAAAGACATGATCAAATGTTTTCGATACGTACAGCACGCCAATCAGATAAGTCTAATCAAAATAGGTGGGAGTTATATGTTTAACATGCGAGACATTTGTTTTTAATTGCGTGATTTTTGTACAATGATGGTAACATCTGTTTCACATTTGATGAAAATGGCATAAAAGCGAGTCTTTTTGCAGGTGCAAACATTTGCGAATTCACCATTTTTGTTACACGAATCTGATAAGTGATCGCTCTAACAATGTCTTCGCCAAACGACAATGTAACCGCTATATCCACTGAGGAGAATGGAGAAGCAAAAGCAATGGAAGTTGTATACATTCCAGAACAAGAAGCTAAAGAGGAGGTAGATGAATTTCGGGATAATTCAAATGTCCCATATCTTAGCTACTTCAAAATATTTTTGTTATTCTTGGATTTTGGATTTCATGCTTGGGGAGGCCCTGTAGCTCAAATATCATTGATTAAGGAACGTTTAGTGATAAGAGATAAATGGATTACAATAGCTAGATTCAATCGCGTTTATGGTGTTTATCAAATTTTACCTGGTCCTGAGGCAACAGAGTTGTGCATGTTTTTTGGTTGTCTCGCCGGAGGACGGATTGGTGGGTTTCTTGCTGGGTTAGCATTTTTAATACCAGGGTTTTCGTTAATTTTACTGTTCAGTTATATCTATGTAATAATTGGTTTCAAAAATGAATATTTCAATGCGTCATTCCGAGCATTACAACCAGTAGTTGCTGCCCTTGTACTAAGAGCCGTTCATAAGATTGCTGAACATTCTTTTATTTCTAGTAAATCAAAGAAATTTAATTATTGGTTATTTTCCATGGCGATATTGGCATCAATACAAAGTGCTCTAAACATCAACTTCTTTCTAACTTTGGGTGTTTGTGGGATTGCATTCATGTTTTTAGACAGGAAGAATTATTGGATTGGAATTTCAATATTTTTGTTGGAATTCCTTGGCATTGGCCTGTACATTGGTTTCAAAGGAGTTCCTTCAGCTAGTTCTTTAGGTGTCGGTGTTGCTAAAAAAGATGCACTTGATCCCGGTCATGTGTTTGGTTTGGGATTGTTGGCCGGAAGTTTGTCATTCGGTGGGGCTTACGTGAGTAATTATAATTATAATGATTTGATGGTAACGCAAATTTCCAATAATTGTTCATAACCAATATATCATATTATACAGACCACGATACCATTCCTCAAGGCCGAAGCAGTGACAATAGGCCAATGGATGACAGCTACGACATTTTTAGATGCTATCGCCATTGGAAACATTTTACCTGCACCCTTGGTAACATTCTCAACATTTATCGGCTTCCAAGCTGGTTACATTTGGGGAGGAAACAATATAGGATATGGTTTCCTTGGTGCTACCCTTATTACTTTGGGTATCTTTACCCCTTGTTTTATATTCACAATTATGGGCCATGAAATGTTAGAGCGATTGGTTCGCAACAAGTTTCTGGCGGCATTTTTTGATGGTATTACTGGTTCCGTGATTGGTATAATCGCCATTACTGCGATGGATTTGCTCAAGTCCTCACTAACGACCTCGACTGCTCTTGCAAATATCGAGGACGCTAACAGACGAGACATTATTGCCGCACAACAAGGCAGCATTGCTGCAGTCTTATACGTCTTAACATTGGCAATTTTGTACTCTTTTAAGGTTCCCATTCTTCCTTTACTGTTGGTAATATTTGGAGCCATTGCCGGGCAATTTTTGTTTGTTACATAAATAATTGAGAGGTCTTGATACAGGCAATTCTTGGTTTAAATCTCACCCCAGGAATTTTATGCCCTATAATTTATTCATATTTTAATTTTACCAATTTAATAGACTCTTTTGGTTTGATAGATAATGTGTACAATAACAAGCATATTTTGTTCGTGAAAAGTATCTTTCGCTTCATACGTTTTTGTTAATCAATGTAAAAGTTACATGTGTTTATTGTTACCGAAATTTGTTTTCATTTACAGTTTATAAGTGACGATCTATTATTTCGTTTAATGCAAAGAACGTATAACATACGTATTCTAAGAACTATTTTGGCCAATTATACTGAAATATTGTCTCAATGCGTCGGCCAGAGTTTCTGATAATGCGTTAACATCTCTTAACACAACATAATAATCGAATGGAAAAGAGTCTAAATATCGTACCATTTCTAAAGTCATTCGTCCATTAACAGATTTGTATTTCACTTGATTCATCGATACAATGGAATCACTTCCAGACTTATTATCGACGATTATGAATACGACCATAATTTGTGCTTCAATTGCTCTTCGAACGAGTGCTTTAAGACTGTCATGATCCTCACATACTCCATCTGAAATGATTAGTTGAAGTTGCCAAAGTTCCTTTTGTTGCGATCGACCATTATAATTATTCCGGGCATGTTCCAGCAATGCAATTGATGTTTCCATTAAAGATCGTATGTAAGTCTTTTTTTGCTCGAATGTAAATTGTTGCAACACTTGAGCACCTGCTTCACTACTAAATGGTTGATCAAATGGATGGAGCATTTGAACTTTTTCTCCAAAGCTGACAATTGAAATATCTCCTACTTCAAGTTGTGATAGCGCTTTAGAAATGAGTGCCAATGTTTCGTAGGCTAGTTGAATCGAATGTGTTTCGCACATCGATTTAGAGTCATCGACAGCGATCATTACTTGGTATTGTCTTTTGCTTGGTTTCGTGCGGCGAAGCCAGATTTTGTCTTTTTTAAAGTCACTGGCGATGTAAGGTATTATTTTTTTCATATTAAGTCTTCTGCCGGTACGATAATCGCCCTTTAATCTTGTTGCGAGAGTCGGTTCAAGAATAAGTCGCAGTTGTTCACAAAGACCATTGGCCAGATCGTATGTTAGATTCTCGTATTTTTGCCAAAGTTCTCTGGCCGCATCGATACTTCGGCCGGATTGACGCCATTCTTGCAATTTCATTTCGAGGTCTTGACGCAAACTTTCCACGTTCAACTGAGACAAAGGTGGCTGTGATTGAATTATAAGTGAGTCGTCAACCATTTGTTCTTCATTGTCAGGCTCCATTCCTCGTTTTCCAGCAAACAATGCACTCTTTCCATGATCTTCAGGTTCTTGTGAAGTTTTATCATCATAAACTAGTTCATCTGGTTTCATACAGTTGGTATCTTTCACTTCTACGGGTATGTCGTTAGACTCGTATATGTGATCTTCGGCACTGGTGGTGTCCCCAACATCCATTGGTCGTTCGTCATTTGTCCCTTCCATGACTTGTAGGTCGTAAGTCATTTCATCATTTTCAATATATTCAAATGCTTGACCTTCGTCGATATCTTCTTGCTTATCAATGTCATTATTTTCATCCAATTTTTCGTTTTTGAGGTCCGAACTATCATTTTTTTCAATCATCCCGAGTCGACGTCTCCATTTTTCAAGTGCATCGCCAAGACTTCGATGGGGATTTGCATCACGAATTTCATCATTTGGATATTCGATCTTGGAGGTATCTCTTTTATCGACTTTTTCGTCGTCAAAATTATTTAGATTATCCATGGAAGTAGTGTTAGGGAGTTTTTCGACTTCTTTTTTCTGGTCGTAGGTATTTTCTGGTGATTGTGGCATTCCACCACGGGGCGTGGCTTCTGGAACCATTGTTGTCATTCCAGACTTACCGTCAACTCCATGAGTATTTTCAGCGGTTATTTCAGAATTTACTTGATCTTGATCAGATGACAAACTTTTGCTTGTGTTATTTGGATTTTCCTGAAAACTTTTATTGAGAGACTGTTCTTCATTATTTTTGACTTGATCTGAAGTCTTGTCAATCATTTCGTCGGGTTCATTTTCTATCATTTCATCGGGTTCATTTTCTACCATTTCATCGGTTTCACTTTCTGGACCTTCTTCACCCTGTTTATTGGAACAAGTATTAACTAATTCCTCTAGTTCTTCGGTTTCCATTGGGTTATTGGGAGAGTCGATATTTTCTTGGCCTTCTGTTACGTCTTCTTCTGGTAATTTTTCAACTTCGCAGTTTGAATTATCTAAATCCATCTCTGAAGAGAAATCTTCATCAGGACATCCATCTTCGAGATCGTTCAAATCTTCTTCCATACCGTCAATCTCCATGTCATCTGGAAGCTCCATTGTTTCGGCTTGTGGAATTTCGTCATTAAATTGAATTTCCTGGTCATTGTACTCTTCTAATTGATCGCCTGCAAAGTCTTCTGGCTCATTTTCATCGATATCATAGTCATTATTCTCTTTGGGTAATTGTTGCTTTTGCTCATTGTCATCCAGGCCTCCTTTTGAATCATCTTTGGCCACAATATCCGAATCCCCTTGAAGGTTTTCTTGTTTATTGGATTCCAAAGACTTTCCCGAATCTTTATCAGCAGAATCTTCTCCCCACATTTTCTCGTCGACCACGTCAGGATCACTATCATCAAGTTGACCAACTTGTTCCTCTATATCAGATTTCGAGTCCTCATCTTCGGTCTGATCATCATTATCATTGGATCGTTCAATATCTTCCAATGTGCCTTCAAAATCATTCTCCATCTCAATCCCATCTTTTTTATCTACATCAGTACCCTCAGACGGTTTCGATTCAACCTCATTTTGAGTTCCCAATACCTGTTCTTCATCTTCAATTTCATTGCTCACATCTTTTGAACCTTCTCCTCCTCCTATACCCGTTCCCTGAAGGTTCTGATCGACGTCTCCACTTTCTCCATCCTCTGCTTCACTGATCTCTGGTGTGCAAAAGCCTTTTTCAAAAATTGTAACAAATGAATTACAAAGCACCAGCTCAAGTTTGCACAGCGATTTTTGGTGGAATAAAAATGTAGTCAGATAATATTGGATTACATTATAATATTGGTGCATGAACGGAAATATTCTTTGTAATAAGTAGGAAATTAAAGTTTGACACTTATTATTGTTTAATCTTTCATTATCTATGAATTGGCTTAACAGAGAATAAATTTGACCAAGCTGTTCATTGGTCGATTTCAAATTAAGTTTCTTGGTGATATCCGAAATATGATTGTGTTCATGGCGTATATGATTATCGCACATTTGACCATGGTCCACATGTGGTGGATCATTTTCTGCAACATCTGCATTCTCTTGCGCGTTAATCTTTACCAAGTTTTGGACATTGATCAAAACGCAATCAAGTAAATCGCCGACTTTATGCGTGAAATTTTCCAAAATTAGCTTTACTTCATTATCCAAATTGATCGTTTCACATTCAACGTCTGACGTCTCAAAAATCTCGCTTCGAGAATTTATGTAATCGCGCATTGGTGAGAATATATGCGAATACTCAGAGAACCGAGTGCAGATTTGGCTTAAAAATTCGTGAAACATGTTTATTGTTCTGCCGTGAGTTTTCAGCGTACCAATAATTTTGGTTGTTAATACGACTTTTTTTCCAACGGCTAATTCGGGCATTAATATCATTCGTTCGAATACGTCATTGACTTCCTGACGGGCTGTGGAAATTGTGCCAAACCAGCTTTGAATATCTCGGTCAATACTATCGTTTTCTGGTAGCCGCAAAAATTGTTTTTGAATATCAAAAATTGTTTTTGAATATGTCAACATGCATAATGTATTATCAAAAATTTCTTTGAGAATCCTTAGCTCATTCTCATGCAGAGAATTGAGAGACACTACTTCATGAGTTTGTGAGTTGGAAGAAGTCGGTTTATATGCCGAATACACGTCGCCTAGTTGAATCATGAATGCCGAAAATTCCTTATATTGCGTTTCAAATTCTATAAACCATCTGCGCTCTTGAATAATAAGAGATAATAGATCTTCGGTAAAACCAAGTGCTTTACGTGCTTCTTGTGAAGAAATATCTTTGGAATGGCTTGCTGAAATATGTCGAAGGTAGTTGATTCGAGATATGATCCGATAATAGTAATCGTCAATCTTTTCGCTCATTAAAATGGTTTCCTTTTCCATCGGGAGTTGGTAGGTTGAGTGGTATTTAGCAACTAACGTTTTTAAAGTATCAGTTAAAGGTTGTAATCTCGGAAGTTGTAAAATATATTCGCCTAGGTTTTGTTGTTTCTCTAGTGCTTTCCTGTTAGGAAACGAATGCAATCCGACTCGTTTCAGTTCCTTCAATAGGTCAACCAAGGATTTTTTCTTGACTAATTTTAAGTTTTTCAAGGAACTTTTATTTTCTTCATTTATCGCGAGATTTGTTTCGTCTTGAAGCGCCTTTGATCTCAGTATGATTTCCGTCGCAAGATCATCAACATAAAAACCACATGTAGAATTTCGACCGAAGATGTCATTAAGGCAATAAGATCGAAATTTTTGAAAAGTATTATTGATGTTTATGAATCGTTCCGGAGATAATGGGCCTTGCTTGCTCAGCGTCTGTTGTAATTCAAAAACTTTTTCCGAAGGTTCAATCGGATAAATGTCGGAAAGCCATTTTTCTGGCGGCGGAAATAATGTCGAACCCGAATGTGCATCTTGCCCCTTTTCCTTATGTTGTGCGTTCGGGTGGTCATTTGGAGACACTCTCAAAATATCGATTATTGATCTGTCAAGTATTTCTTTATATTTACGTATGCATTTTGATAAATGTCGATGAGTTTTCTGTGCACTTTGTTTGAGAGCATGTACATTTACATCTTTCCAGCTGGCAATCTTAACAAATTGACAGAGCTCCTTCTCAATAGGTTTGCGCAGGATTCCCAGAGATGTTCGAAGCTCATCTCGGAATTGTGAATAATATTTGTAAACATTCCACAGTGCATTGGCAGCTCGATCGTAAAGCGGATTATGTGTCGGAAAATGATTACAAAGGTGTATATAGAAAACACGGATTAGCTCCAACCTTGATTCAAATTCTCCAAAATTCGATGATTGTATAAATTGATCTAGACTTTTGACAATCTCAGTGACGTGGTCTTTAATTATTGGAGTTGCTTCACCAACATTGTATTGACGACTGATTTCGTATATAGGACGAATTATGCACCCGTAAAGGTGAAACCACCATTTCAAAGAAGATTGCATGTAATATTTATCTTGGGCCGCCAATAATTTTGGCCAGCAGGTTAATTCAAGCTGACGCCAACGGATAATAAGCTCCGTTACTTCTTCCCTGTTGGATTTGATAGAAACATCTCGACTAGCATAAGATTCCCAATCCTCTGATTTTTGTAACAAGATTTCTAATCCGGTAAGTAATTTTGCGATTGGTGAATTTAATTCAAGTCCACTAATCTTGTCACAAATGTTGTAGAGTTGGTGGAGAACTGCATGTTCAGGCCACAACTTGAGAAGTTCCTTGATACGAATTTGAAAGTTCCTGACGACGATACCTAACTTCTTTGCCTCGGCGATATTTTCGTCCTTATAGAAATCGTACATTCTATCATTCAAAAAAGGTTTTCTATCGCTGTTTTCCAATTCGGTACCCTGCATCAACCAACTCTTTAACAAAAAAGTGCTGAGCATTTGAGTTGTTGTAAACTTATCGTCAAATTCTTCAGGGTATAGATTGCCACTCAATAGTGTCAGATTTCTTGCCATTGTGAACGAGGGCCAAAATATCTTACGCATTAGCTGTGAGCGATCGACAATATCTGTAACAAGATAATATTTGAAATCGGTTATTATGTGCTTGTATAATTCCCCAATTTCAAAGATAATTTCCTCATTCACAATAGAAACATTATTTTTAATTATCTTCGGATCCATGTCGATATTCTCAACGTCTGAACTAAATTCGCTAAATTCTCGGCTAAAGTCGGGAAACATTTCTTCATGCCCGTCATGTTGATCATCGTTAATATCCGTGTATGTCTTGGTTTTATTCTTGTACAAACTTTCTTTTTCTCGAGCAAGACTATTCATCCGCTCTTCGGCAGCAGAGTAGATATCGGCAGTCTCGCCGAAAAAAAAGTTGATAATTTCCAAATCTTCAAAAACAAAGTGGCCTCGTTTCGCGATGTGATGGTATAAACACCTGAGAACGACGGTAATATACTTCAAATAGGTATCCCATTTATCCTCGTTTGGGGATGCGGAAAATAAAAGTTCTTTGATTTTCTTAATCGAATTTGGTGATGAAATTAACCTAACATGCTCATTCGGATACCCCAATTTTGCCATCTCCATTAGTGACATCACCAGATCGAATATATGAATTTCGCGTGATTTATATTGAGGTGACGCCATTAGTCTCACACCATATTTTAATTGGAAGAGCGTAACGCATATGGGCTGAAGTAAATCGCGATATAAAGGATAATTTGTAGTAACTCGTTGAATAAACTGTGATGTGTTTTCTTGAAACAATGCTTCTCGATCTAGAGCTGGCGTATTTTGTCCTTTTTCCAAATCTTCAGTGAGTGTTGCAATATGTTTTTCGTCGATTACGTTGTTGCAAATGTAATCAATATCTTTGAAGATATTGTTAATTTGTGAATCTTCTGGACGCAAAACTAGATCTACGCGCTCTTTTTCGTAGAGTGATCGAACATTTTCAAGATCTTTTTTAAGATGTTCAATCAAGCTATTTTCAGAGTTGCCAGTAATGCATTTTTCGATGTCACTTCTTGTTTTTATTTCTGTTTCCAGGCTAGATTGTTTAATTTGCAATTGTTTGCATTTAGTGCGAGCTTCGGTAGTCGGATCTAAAGGATAATCAGGAATGTATAGACTAATAAATCCGAGGGACATCAAGACCCAAGACTTTCCTGTAATCAGGAAATACTGATTTTTGCCCAAGAAGTCGTGGTAATTCTCTATAAGTTGAATCATAAGAAGAATAACCGGAACGAACCATCGTTCGAATGTAGAGAGCAAAGATGAATCTCGAACTTTCTTCAAAGCGTGCGAAATCGAATAAAGAGATTGAACAGCATTCGACAATCTATCATTCGAGTTTCCATTAGTTTCTAATAATGACCTAATTGTTTTAACGACAATATCAAGATTGCTGTATATATCATTCCAATCGTCGGAAGAAAACAGGTACTGAAAGGGATATAGGATCTATTTTCGAGGCAAGGTTGTTAAGTAAACAAACAAACAAATAAATATATATAAAATGCAAACGTAAGATCCATTATAGGAATATATGTACTTGTCCAAAGTGAAGAATCAAACATAAGATATTGATGGTTTTTCGATTTGTTTTCGAAAACATATGACTGCTTCCGACCCGGTTCTCAAATTCTTCCAGCTGCTTCAAACAAATTTCGTAGTTTCCAATGGAAGTTGATTGTATCATGTTGCTAGTATTATCATAATTGAAGTGAATGAATTGTAAGATCTGTTACGATGGATAAAAATGACATAATAACCAACTCACGAGTAATTAAGATAGCACTCAGTAAAGACGCTTTGAAAAAGTCTTGATGGACCTCCAGAATGCTGAAGAAGATGACTTTTCAATAAGTACTTTCTTAATGACAGCTTTCTCAAGTCATTTATATTGGGATAAAAAGAGTACCTTTATAAAATTTTTTGATGTATCTGATCTTTCGCCAACGAAAAATTGATCAAAACTATTATTCCACAATCTATTGTGCCAACTGAACATGACATCCTGAACAGTGTTGTTAAGCATTATTTTGATTTTATCTAGAAACACAAAAATTTTTTTAGATTCTGTAACTTGCAATTCTCAACTTCAAGAATCTATTAAATATGCCAACCTTTCGAGCCATCTCCGTAATTCCACAAGATTTTTTGGTGGGAAACAAAATCCAGAGGGTTTCTTGAAGAATGTTTCAAAGACCAGTCTCGCCATTCAGATAGTTGATGAATGAATGAGCCAAAATTATACTAGGTTTTATATTGCATAATGTAAATTTCTTAATAAAGATGTGAACAAACGAAAAATTGTAATATTCAAACTTACATCATTCGAACTAGAATTTAGAACAATTGACTGTAGATTCCCAATGATTTCCATCTCCTTGATGATACTCCAATAATCCATTATGAGATTTTGAGGAACAAACATGTCTTGTCTGGAACATTCTGAAATATCCCCTTCAACCTTTGATACCTCCATCTTATTATGGATGACCTACATGATAAAATAACAAAGCTTAATTCTTTGATAATCGTACATCACTTTTCTTTGAAGAAAGTCGAATACCTCGGGAATTCTTTTAATAGAAATCAATAGCTCATCGGTTTTTTCTCGAGGGTTTTCGTCGATAAAAAATAAGGTTGCAATAGCATCAATTATCATATTTTTCAATTCTCTGACTATACAAAGATACAATTTTGTTTTTGTTAACATGAAAGAAATGAAAACATTGTTCCTCAAAATTGAAGATGCACTTACAGTCTTCATTATAACCAATATTATCAAACTTTTTTGCCATAGAAGACAACTCCTGTTCAAGCTGAAAAAGTTCGAATTTTTTAAGAGTGACGTGATGAAAGTCCTTCCAAATATTGATCATAAAGATCCCAGTAGTCAAAGACATATCCTCTGTCAGTGTCTTAAGAACATTCACCAAAGGCTTCGCTTCTTTGTAATATCTCTCACATATCTTTGTTGCTTTTTCGTGCAGTAATTTAATGTTAACAGAGGCATCTCCAAAAATAAAAAGATTTGTTTGTAGAGATTTCCACAAGAAATCACGTTGGTCAAGAAAATCATTTATCAGTGAAAGGCCCTAAATAAGTTAAGAGCATTAAAGTAGCTGATTTAGAAGACAGAGCAAATTCAATAAGATGATGATGTACTTACATCCGAATCCAACACCTCTCCGACTTCTATCAACGTCTTTACAAATTGCATAGATTTTTGCAACAAAGAGTAAATGTTGCCAATAATTCGGTGACTTAATTGATTCTCATATAGCATACCTTGATGGTAAATATATGATTGTTGAGCTATGGTCATCTTTGTGACTTTCAATTGTGAAGCAGATTTATAAGAAGAGCTTTCAAAATATTCTGAACGCGTCAGACGCTTTAAAATCAAGAAAGTCTTGGTTTTAAAGGAATATTCTTTCCACAACGCCAGTTTTGTATCAACATTATCATGATTAAGTAAGCCTGAACCGATATCAGTGAATATTTTATGGAAATATGGAATATTTGTAATATCCAAGGGCTAGAATCAAAGAACTAGTATTAATATGAAAGATATCGCAAAATTTCATAATCAATAAGTAATTTGAAGATAAATGCCGACCTTATTTAACGCAAGTGAGCAATCCAAATTAATGGAATTAATTAATCGAGACCTGAGTTCGGTTATTTGAGTGGCGACCGGGTGAGTCAAAACACTATTTAAAAGAAACTTGGCATACTCCAGAGCGCTTTGTTTCCTATGCACAATAAAATACGACGATTGTAAAATAGAGGAGACAAAGTCAAGCCAACTATGACGAACGTTAAGATCATCCTGTGAAGATATTTCAACAAAATAATCAATAGCCACAAGTATTTCAGGAGATATATTAGGTATTAAGTCATGTTCACTTAAATTAGATTCATTTTTGAGTAAAAGTTGCAAAAGATAAGATCCTTGCAGACTGATCATAGCGATAATTGATTCATCTTTGAAAAAACCCCCTCCAATGAAGAAGGGATAGTTGGAAGGTGAACATGTATGTAGGAAATTGTTTTCCTGAACATTGAGATCTGGAAAAGAAGAAAACTTCAAAAATCCGAAATCATTTTCTTCGAGATTTCCCTTCTCAGAATATTCAAAAATAAGTTGGAATACTTTATTGGTCGCAGATAACGTTGATTCCCCACGTTGAATCCTTTCATTTAAAAATCGAATAAACATAATATATTCTCTTAGGCTAGGACGATGACAGCTCGTTCCGCAAAAATTTTCAAAGGTTTTTGAAAACCTTTCCAAAATCTCAGGCATACATGGTAGATGAAGTCCCAAACCATATGAAATTTTTATTAAATCTCGAATATTAGTTGATTCATCTTTCAGAAGTGCTATTTCGATGCCACGATTTCTCATTGCACGTGATAACTCTCCATTTTTGGGATCAACAGTCATAAAAAGCCTAAAGTTTTCGTGTGGATATATGATTTTTGTCTTACCATCGGTCACCCCTTGTTCATTAACCATTAGGAATCCATTTGGCTCAAGCAAAGGGTTAAGTCTATCAAGAACGGAAGGACTGCAAAGATTGGCATTATCTATTAAAAGCCAGTGTCCATTCAATAATGCGTTAATTAAAACCCCATCGATCCATTCGAAACGTCCTGCAATAATTTCATTTTCCATAGATTTGAGTTTTTTTATCTTTTCAGATAAGGATTGCAGGGAATTCTTGGATGGCAAGTTAAAATCACGGATCGTTTGATCAAGTAATGTCAACAATTGATCTATCAGGTTGAAATCCATGATTGATGAATTCGCTTGATTGAAATTATTGAATTTTTGATAGTTCTTTAAAGTAAAAGTGAGGTGACCGAATTGGGTGACGGCTTGCAAAATTTGAAAATCACCGTGCAACGGAATACTTCTAATTAATAATGATTTCGAGACTTCATCACTAACATCAATCAATTCGTTGATTACTATTTGTCGGTGTCTAGATAAATCCACTTGCTCGAAACCCCCTAATAACTCCGTAGTATCAACAGTACTATTCATTGAAAATTCTTCCAATTTATTTCCAGTGAGTTCTGCTAACAACCTTACTAAACTTGTCTTCCCGGTTGCCTCGGGTCCCGTCAATATCGCCATCCAATTCATTTCTACACATTTCATTAATGACTGTAAAGAAAGAAGATGCGATTGCAATATGTGCAAAGAATTCGCCAATGAACGTTTATGCGTATTATCGCGACGTCGCAGAATGGAATAACCAATTTGAACAAAATCGGGATTAATGTGATATGAGGGATTCCTTGGTTGATGGTAACTATTATCAAATATTTCATTAAACGTTGAAATTACACGATCTCTATCATTGCTTGTCCTCATTCTCATAAGATAAACAAGGTCCAGAAATTGATGAGGCAAAGAGTAAATCCCACGTTCATAATCTTCAGCAAGCAGTTCAAGCCATCGAAGTATATCACGCAAATTAAATTCCCAGGGCGCTCCATTTCGACCATAAAGGCATTTGATCATTGTGTCTTCATACATTCTAGTGTTGAACTCGATCATACTTTTCAAAGTTTTAATGTCCATTCGAGGAAACGAGTTCACACAAATGAGCAAAACATCGTCCTGCGTGAGTTCTTCAATATATACCTGCGTGAAACGATTAATAAAAGATTTCGGTAGACCTTTTCTACCACCTCCTTGATGGAAAGGATTTTGGGCGCCAAATACACGAAACTCCTGAGCACAGTGAAATTCTTTGTCAAGCTCCGGTATATAGACAGTACCACGATGATCCAAACAGGAGTTGAGGCCTTCCAATACTGACTGTGAGGCGAGATTGAGTTCATCCAAGAGTACCCAATCTCCATTTTGCATCGCTTTCAAAAATGGCGCATCACACCACGCAAATTCACCACTACGTCCTCCTTCTACGGGAAAATCGGAACCGAATAAGTCCATCAGATCGGTTTGATCGGATAGATTAATTCGAACAAGCCGATGACCTGATGCAGCAGCTAATGCAGTAACCAAACTTGTCTTCCCAACTCCAGGGCTACCTTCTAACAAAATCGGTTTGCGGACTTGCATTGCACGAAGAATTCGTATTGCATTCTCCGCGGTGGTGGGTGCTTGGAAATTAAAAGAGAAATTCTGCGTTTCAAGACCTCTAGAAATAAAAAAAGGATAAATACCGAAATGCATTTCAGCAGAATATATGTTACGGGTCCTGACATCGTATTTTGAGTTGTCGAAATGATCCGAGTCTCTGCTCAAGTCTTTTAATTTTTCTAAACATTTTATTCTAATATTTTTTAGATGATGTCCTGATAGAAATGCCTGCGAAGTGCTTGAGCCGAGCCCATCCAATAAAGTGAGACATCCTCCGTGTATGAATGATTCTTTGGGTCCGAGAAATTCCACACTAATGTTCATAAACTGAACCCATGATAATATATCTCGGATGCTTATCACGTGTCTAAACCCGGTGATACTAGTAAACCAATTGATAAAATCCAGAATATGACATGCATAACCCTCAAAAGCAGGGTGAATCAATTGCGCATCAATAATTTGCAGTAAGTCATCGCGATCAGAAACCGAAGGAACCCATATTTCCGTAAATCGATTCCTCAAAGCAGGGGATAATTCCTTTTTACCGTAATCACCGCCAGGATTCATGGTCGCCAAAAATTGAAACCCTCTGTTAGCAACTAACTCTTCAACGCTTCCTACTCCTTTCTCTGGTAATACTAATGTTCGATGAGGCTCTAATACACTATTAATACGTTCGATGACAGAGTCATCGGCCAAAGATATTTCATCCAGTAGAAAGAAAGTTCCTTTTTTCATGGCCTGAATAAGAGGCCCATCACACCACTCGAATAGTTTACGACTCTGTCTGCATCGTAATAGAAGTGACATTAACTCATCATTTTCTTCAAGTTTTGATAAATCCTCCGCCTTATATTCTCGATAATCACGTTCTAGAAGTTCAATTAACTCAGGTAAATCCAATTCTTCCAAAGTTTCGCGAAATATATCGTTTTTCCTTAAATATTCGATCAAATCACATTTAAGTTTGAAATTAAAAAATCCTCGGTTTCTCAATGGTCGTTGTCCACCAAGCAAATCGGCCGTCTCGGTGCTATGATGACAATTTACAGTAACCAATTCTGTATTCATGGCTTTAGTCAACATTTGGCATACAAACGTTTTACCGCAACCAGTGTCACCAACTAAGAGAACCGGCTCATTAAACTTCAAACACTGAAAAACAAGAGTGAACAAACGCTTCATGGCCTTTGTCCATATAATATCGTTTTGCCGAAATTTGGAGAACTCCGATTGAAAGCGATCATACATTTTTTGCTCTTCGATAGTAACCTTCATCACATTTTCCAGAACTTCTTTGACAACTAATTTTTCGTCGGGTCGTCTCACCCTCTCTGCAAGAAGCATATAACCATTCTCTGCCAACTCTTGATATCCGATCGCACCTCTTTCCGCCCAACGAAACAGATCTCTCAATGTAATAAACCCATGTTTCTGCTCAAATATACGAGTTCTTTGACGTCTCTCCATCAATTGCTTATACGTTTGAACCATGCGCTTACAATAGGAAGGCGCAATCCGACACCTTTCCGATAGAATAGTTTCCAATTCACTTTCAGGAATATCATCAAAGTGTAACTCCACAAATCGACTACGAAATGCGCGTGACAAAACCTTACGCCCCGCATACAATCCTGGTGGGTTTTGTGTTGCGAAAAGCATAAAGTCTTTATGTGGTTTAATAACCTCTTGAGTTTCTGGGATCAGAAGCTCTCTGTTATCGTCTAAAAGACGATTCAAAGCTTCTAATACATCTGTTGGCGCCAGATTTAACTCATCTAGAACAAGCCAGTACCCCTTCCTTACAGATTCGACGAGTATGCCTTCTTGGAATTCTAGTTTTCCCTCGGAATTTGAAACATAAGTGCCAAGGTATTCCTGAAGATCGGTATGCTCGTGATTATTAATTCTTACGAAACGATGTCCCGTTAGCTTAGCCAAATAATGAATCATACTAGTTTTTCCAGCAGATGTAGGACCCTGAAGAAGAACAGGAAATCTGTTACTCATAACAACTCTTGAAAGATTTTCCAAGTTTTTATTTACGGAGGGTGTTAGAATATAATTGGAAACTTCCTCTGGCTGAAAATCACCCTTCTTAAGCCAAAAATGGCCAAACTGAAGATATTTTCCATCCGTAGGTGCTCTAGGAATTTGACTTAAAAGTGCCAAAGGATTTTTCACACCACCAAGTAAGTATTTCTGCAGTAAATCTCGAGCTCTCATTTCGCTTTCTTTATTCAACTGTGTCAAGAAGGTCATGCAGAAGCTTTCGTACATAGAGCGCCGAAGTCCATAAATTGGTGCAATGTGGGAAACAAACATTAGGGCACGCGTCAAAGTTCTCATGCTAAAATGCGGAATCTGATTTGAACCATCGGAAAGCATATATTGACGCATTAAATCTTTTATCGACAGGTAAAATTCAACTATATCAACGCAAGCCTGTTCGTCACCATGAATACAACCAGCTAGGTATTTCCTTACTATAGACAGCAGATCATCTCGATTATTGTCAGGTGGGTGAACATAGAATTCAGAAAACCGACTTCGCAATCCAGGAGGTAGGTCACGCTTTCCCACGTCAGTTGCCGGATTCATGCATGCAAAAATACGAAAATTTGGATGACGTGAAATCGGCTTTGAGTCACCTCTCTCAGTCAACAACAAAGAGCTCTTGGAATCTTGAAGCAAGCCACTTAGGCACTCTAGAGTCTCTGTTGAAGCTAAATTAATCTCGTCCAAGAGGATCCAATCACCCTTAATGACGGCCTTAACTAATGAACCTTCAATATATGCAAAAATAAGTTTATTTCGCATTCGATCTTGCTGAATCTCAAATTCTCGGACTGAACTTTCGAACATCTTCCAGCGGTTACGCAGTTCGGGATTTGTGAGTTTCCGAGGATTTTTCTGAATCTCTTTATCTTGATTTTCATATTCAATTTCCATCTCGAAATGTTGATCTTGTTCCGAGTTAAACTTTTGTTCTGCCAACCCAATTGCTTGTCGTAAGAGCGACACAAACTTATTATATCTTTTCTTGACGTACATTTTATTTACAGTCTGCAAGAAACTTGGATTACGACGAACCGAAAAAGTTTTTTCAAACAGTTTGTCAAATTCTTCTTTTAAAGGTGCCGCGATTAAATTTGCATCAACCGGTTTAAATCCACCCAGAAGGTCACTGATGTCGCTGTGTTGAGATAAATTCACTACAATAAGATTCTGATTCATGAGATCTGCTAAATGTTGAACTACCGATGTTTTTCCTGTTCCAGTTTCTCCAACCAACAAAACCGGCTCGCACAATTGCACACACACAGATATTTGTTCCAAAAGTCTTAAGGCATGACCTGTATCAGTAAAATGATTTTTTTGTGCACCGCGCTTGAGAGAATTTCTTTTTTTTCGATTATTCGGAACCAAATGTGACCTTCCTATTATAATAACATTTACACTAATACTTATGTTTGGAATAAATGAACTGGCATATAACTCAATCCATTGATTCGTTATCCCTAGTTTCTCTCCAAGAAGTTCCAATACGCGTGTCCAAACCGAATAATCGGATATAAATGCACAAAAACTGTCTGCTGCCTCTCTAAAAATTTCTTCTCTTACTTTACTCGATAGTCCGTCAATATAATTACCGACTGAATCTTTTAAATTAAGGATAGAATCTATCCTTTCGCACCATTTCATCAAGTCGCGGGATGATATTGCTCTGGCAATATTTGATGGAAATAATGTTTTGTCTTGATAGATAGATGTTATTGATGTAAAGACGTTCGTTAAGTCGGTGACCAAGCTATGCAAAGGTGGAAACTTCTTTCCTATCACGTACTTTAACTCATCAGAACTCATGGGCTTGATCCTAATTTTAGTCCACAATGTATTGCCAATACTCATATCAGTCGTGGGATGTCGAGAAAAATATTCATCTTTTTTTTGCAACAAACTTCTCGTAGCAAATAATTGAAACCCTTGCTTTGCCTCAATTCTTTCACCCCTATTTGGGATAAAAAGTTGACTAGTTTCTAACAAAGGTAACAAAACAGATAAAACATCAACCGGGGCAAGATCTATATCCTCAATTAGAACCCATCGTCCTTCACGTACTGCAGTTGTTAGAACGCCAGGTTGCCAATGGAATAACGCTGAAGTTGATGTAGACACATACGTGCCTAAAAGTGTCTTTGAGTCAGTTTGTTCTCCGAGATGAATCTTCAAGAGACCTAAGAAATGATATTAATTAAGTATCAAAAATCCAAGTCGAAACATTGATAATTTGAGTTATGTATTACTAACCTTCATAATGTCCAGTTGAAATTGCAATCTCCTCTACCAATGCTGTTTTTCCAGAACCTGTCACACCCTCCAGCAACACGGGCGAACCCATGGAAATAGCCAGGCATATTGCATTTAAATTATTTTGAGTTGTTTCTGTCATCATAAGACGTGGCTTGTTTTCTAAATTATCCATATTTACTGATTGAATAGATCTAGGCAGCAAAATTCCAGAAATATTGGCAGTTAATTTTGAAAACTCTTCAAATTCTAAAGGTGTCGAACGCGATAAGTCATCACAATTATCTTTGGTTAAGTGAAGCTGTTTCCTAATAAGCGATCCATGCTCAAGCAGCCTATTCTTAAAAAACGTCAAAATCAACAAATCAAACAAATAAACACGAGAACTACAAAATTAATTATAAGCTCACGTTAGCATCCTTATATCAAAAGTCCCGGTATCTTCCCAGTCTATTAAAATCCTTTCTTCTTTTGGACCAACCCATATTCGATATGCGATCTCCCGTTGCGCATCACTCATATTAAAAACGATGCTTATGCATAAAACGGTTAGATAACGAATCGAATTATCAGAATTTGTTAACAACTGAAAAAGTGATGACCAATTCCACAAGGGGACAAATGTTCTCTCGGAAAATCTTAAAAGTCTATAGGCGATCATCAATAGGCACTTTATATCCATTACATCTGGTGAACACTATAAAAGTAGGCAAAAAAACACGTCATTTTCGCGTATAACATTACGGCAATTAAAATAAGATTAGGCAAAACTTACAAATGCCTCCATTTCTTCGGTTTCAGAACTTTTACCTATTGAATCAAGTCTTAAAAGAAGGGAAGGTGATCGGGAAAAGAATGAAACAGACACACTATTTCAATCAAATAATCGCGTTTAATTAATAATAATATTGAAATAACACTATGAGCAAATAATGAATTTAAGTTACCTTAACAATTGAGGCGCTAATGGTAGTAGTTGACTGAACGCAAGAGCAACACTTTCTACACGAAAAACTGCACTATTATTGGTATGGTAAGCGTCATCAGGATATAACCAACGGGAAGTAAGATCAATCAAGACAGGACGAAACAATTCAGAAATTGGTAGGGTTAACGGAGGATGCAAAAGTAATTCGGATATAACATTTAGGATTTTGTGATTATTTTGTGGAAAATCCCCATTAAACAATGAATTCAAAAAATCTACGTGTTCTTTTATCCCATTAAAGGAGTACGGTAAACTTTTTGCAAGGAAAATTTGTTCTATCTTCGACAATAATTCTTTACACGCCTTTTGTACGTCCATTTCAGAAATTAAAAAAGATAAGGTGATCCATTTACCCTCGCAGTAGATGTTATTTATAACAATTTTTTTCGTCAATTTTCATCAATTTTTTCTGATTGGGTAGATTTGTAACCAATTTTTGCTATAAAATCTCGGAAAAACTCGATTCTTGCAGCTTAGCGTGAAAAATGCGGAGCTCAAGAGGCAGAGGAGGTCAAGGATATTATGAAGTAAATGAGCAAAATGAATGGTCAAATAAAGACGTGTATACAAGAGGTCATGGAAGAAATCGTGGAAGAAGTCACGGAAGAGGTAGAAGTAGAGGTAGAGGTAGAGAAGAACAAGGTCGCGTAGAACTACCTGAATTAGTAGAAATCCCAAAGCCACCGAAAAAGGGGTTTCGTAAGCTTCCCACTATGCCAACTCGAGAAGAACTCCTCTCCGAAAGACCCGAAAATATTCCAGTCAACAAAATCGATGAACCTTATGAATCAATTGAGGAATATCTCGAAACCCATTATCGCTTGTTACGCGAAGATTTCATATGTTCACTTCGAGAAGGCATCAAACTTCATCGCGAGCCCAAAAAAGATGATGATGCTCGGACTGATCTAAGAGTATACGAAAATGTGCGTTTATGCTGAAACAATTGCAAATCGTAATCGATTCTAGCTCAAAAAGTTATGATTTTTCAAGGTCAACTTGGTCGGGGTTACATTCGCTAGCATGGGCGTTGTACATCGCATTTCTTTTAGAACACAAAACCATGAGCGTGTCAAATGGTATAATAAAACCAGTTCGAACATCTCTTATTGTTCAAACAACTAACCATTTCGTACTTAGGTCCATGAGCAAGCGATTAATTCCGGGAACTTTGATTGTTTTAACAAACGATAACTTTTCCACAATGAAGCTTGCGACCGTCATTAATAGACCAGACTCGCTACTAGAAAAATCTCATAATTTGCAAATAGACATTTTGTTTAGGCCTGAAGATGTCGTATTTGAGCTTCCCGGAAATTATATAATGGTAATTAATATTGTTCACTTTTGATTTCTTAGCTATTTTTTTTTTCAAGCGTTTTCGTTATTTTGACAGGTGGAGTCCATATCATCATATTTCGAAGGTATCGTTGTCATTTGATCACACACCAATACTATTGTTATTCTGTTAATTATTTTTTCATATGTTTTTTACTTATGCCCATAAACATATATTATAGCATACCGACACATCTTAAAAGTACTTCAGGAATTGGATCCTGAAACCCTTCCTTTCAAATCACATATCATCGAACTTGATCCGAATATCGAAATTCCAAAATATTTGAAGAATCGTATCCCACAATATGATTTCGGTGAATCAAAAGCTTTTCGAGATATTAAAAAACTTATAGGAACAACGATGGTAAGTCATTTATTTAAAATATTTTAAGCAAAAGTATCATTCCATTGAGACATGCGATTCGCACAGATTGATATATCGAAAGATTGGGATGAATGGCCTGACTTGGAAGATTGTGAACCTGGAATGCACTCTTCTCAATATGAAGCGCTAAAAAGAATTTTAACCAAGCAATTATCATTGGTTCAAGGACCACCAGGAACAGGGAAAACGTATGCTGGTTTAACAGCAGTGGAGATATTACTGCGAAATTCACGTGATACTTTAGTCATCGCTTGTCAAACAAATCATGCTCTTGATCAGTTCTTGGAAGGTTACTCACTTCCTCCTTATACATGTATATATTCATTATTTTATTAGGAGTTACTAAAGGCTAAAAGAATTTAATGTAACATACAGGAATCCTAGAGTTTGAAGAAGACATTGTACGTCTGGGTTCACGAACAAAGTCATCCCTTATTGCTCAGTACACACTTTATGAAAAATCAAAAAAAGACAAGATTCGTAATCCTCAGGTCAGTAGGCTTTATGGTGAGAGACATAAAATCGAAAGCGCTATGGAGAAGTTATGCAAAGAAATTTTCAACCCTTTTGTCGATATAGATTTTATTATAAAAAATCAAATTTTGACTGAATCACAAATTGAAAGTCTTAAACAAGATGATTGGGTCATTGGTGGTTCATCGAACAAAGATGGTGAAGAAGAAAAGAACCACATAGAATATTGGGTAGATTCAGCCGTAGTGACATATTCTTCGACTCACGATGAAATTGAATTTCAAGTCTCTCAATCAATTTCCGGTGAGCAAAAGATTGAAGATGAAGATGAGGTAGAAGATGAAGAAATTATCCAAGATGTAAAGGATCAATTTGTAGGCATTGAAGGAGGGATGATAACAAAAGGGAATTACGCTGATTTAAAAGGAGATGTTTATGTCAGTTCGGCTACATATGTTACCAAGGACGAATTATCTGAATGGGAATCTGTCGAAGATCTATGGTCTATTCCGCCGCATGTACGAGCTGCTTTACATAACAAATGGCGAAGACAGAGATTGGATGAAATAAAGAAAGAACTTAAGTCCCTTAACGAAGAATATTCAGAGCTCTCGCAAAAAATAAAAACTGAAAAGATTCGTGTGGATGTAGCAATTTTGAAATCTGCAAGAGTAGTTGGAATGACAACTACAGCTGCTGTAAGTCGACATGAATCTTTTTCAATTGGATTTCTGATTTTTGAATGGTTGTTAACTTTAGAAAATAATTCGCTTACATAGGCAAAATATCATGAATTATTGGTGAATTTAAAACCAAAAATAATTATAATTGAAGAAGCTGCCGAGACACTGGAAGCTCATATTATTACTGCTTTGACGCCGTATACTGAACATTTAATCCTTATAGGGTATGAACGGACAATTTAAAAAGTCTTGTTTTTTAAGAAAAAATTCAGAAATCAAATTTCCATTTGTTACATTTACGTAGTGATCATAAACAACTTCGCCCAAATACCTCCATTCATGATCTCGCCGAATATAGTGTAAGATTCTGTCTGGATCCAACAAAGAAAGTTTTAAAAATTCTTTATATTCTTTATATTTTAATTACTTTTCTTTTCGGAACAAAATTAGAACCTAGATGTCTCACTCTTTGAAAGATTAGTTAAATTCCTTCCTTTCACGCAACTTACTGAGCAAAGACGAATGCGTCCGGAAATACGTGAACTTTTAACACCAATCTATGGGGATACTCTCACAGATCATGAAAATGTCACTAAATATCCAAATGTACCAGGATTTTTCGAAAATCTCTATTTCTTTGACCACATAGAAGAAGAAACCACACTTACGGAATCAATGAGCAAAATAAATAAGTTTGAAGCTGATATGTGCGCTAAATTTGCAGTATTTCTTGTGAATGGTAACTACGACCCTGAGAGAATGTAAATATTTAAATCATGTAGATCAGTGATTCAAACGAATATTTACTTAATATTTAATTCATGCTTTAATCCTATTAGCACCATCCTAAGCATGTATTCAGGTCAACGAAAGTTGATCGAAACTAATCTCCGAAATGAAAGCAGAAAGTTGGAAGAAATTAAATCCGTACGAGTCAGTTCTGTCGATGGTTTCCAAGGGGAAGAGAACGACATAATTATACTTTCATTAGTGAGAAGTCGAGAGCCGCGCAGAGGAATTGGATTTTTGAATGTTTCAAACAGAGGTAAATATGATGATTCTTTTAAAAAATTTTTTTTCGAAAACACTGACAATTATTTCCTTGCCAGTCTGCGTTGCGTTATCACGTGCTAGACATGGGATGTACATATTTGGCAATGCTACCCAATTGCAATTTCAATCCGAACTATGGAAAAATATTTTAAAAATATTTTCGAAATCAAAATGTCTTGAACAATTTATTGACATATATTGTACAAAACACTCTGATATCAAAAAGGGCTTTGAAGGTATGGTCACGACGAGTGTAACATGGGCTGGCGAGATTCCTTCTTCCGGAGGATGTAATCGGAAGTGTGGAGAAATTATGAAGTGTGGTCATGTATGTTATCAACACTTTTTCTTCTCACCATCTGTGCCAAAGAGTAATCCCAATTATGTAAATCTTCATGTTAGCCATGCCCGCTGGAATGCCATTTTAGTCCTCATGAGAAAGTTACTTGTTGGGTAATGAAAATATTCGCTTTTTGAAATTTAAAATTTGCAAAAAAAAAACTGATTATAAATCGCAATATTGATTTTAAAAAAGGCTGACTGTTTAAGAAAACTTGAATGTGGACATCTTTGTACTAAAAAATGTAAAGAAGAATGCGGAAAATGCGAAGAAAAAGTGATAATAAGCCCTCCTTGTAAGCACGAAAAGGAGGTACCTTGTTATCTTTCGAACCCTAGAAATTACACTTGCAAAGAAAAATGTCCAAAAAAATTACAATGCGGACATCCGGTTTGTATAGTTATTTATTTTAAGTGCATCTTAAAAATCATATGAGCTATTAACCGAATTTTATTCTTAATAGTGTCGGGAACTCTGTTCATCAGCCTACTGCACAGTAAAATGCAAAGCGATTGTCACGCTCAAATATCAAAGATGTGGGCACAACAATCGCGTTGAATGTTTTGACTTAAAAAATAAACAGCTGGAAGGGTGTCCATTTTGTTAATTATATGGAAGAATAGTTATGATTTTTTTAAAAAAAAATTTTTTTAATTCGAGAAAGTTGATTTATTGGTTGGATCTCATGCCTCTTATGAGATCATCCATATGTTTATTTGCTAAATTACTCATGCTTCAGATCCCAACAGGGTGTTTGTCTCGAATATGGAAATATGTCAACAGTTTTTAATAAAAATTATAAGTGAAAAAGTAAAATGCTGTAATGAAAATACTATAATAACTAATTTAAAAATTTTATATGCGATAACCTATCAATTCTGTTTACAAATAAATAAATAATTCAATATTTAGTTGATAATGATGAATTCTTGATAATAATATTGAAAATTAAACAAGTTTGTTTATTTGTTATATTTAACAAAATCAAAAAATAATAATAATAATAATAAAAGTCATTGAAATTTCTAGCGCCATTTAAATTAATAGCATAATAATAATAAAATTGATATACTGTATCTTTTAATTTCATATTGAACAAAATATTGATTTATTTGAAAAATAAAAAATTTTCAAATTTTTCTATTTATAAATTTTCGTTAATATATTGTATGTTGCAAATATTAAACAAAAATCTTATTTTTTGATCTTTATATTGTTTAATTTCTTTTTATTTTAAAAGTTTTAAAATTATTTAAAATTATTTATTGTATATTAATAAAAAAAAATTTTATAAATAAATTTAAAATCTTGAAATTTTTTTTATTTTACTTCTTATGTGGTAGTACTAAAAGTATAAATAGATAAATTAATTTATAAAGTCTTGTATTAAGCTTTTTTTAACAAAAAAATATACATATATATTATTTTAACAAAATTATAATTTTGTTTTATCAAATTTAAAGTTATAATAAATTCAAAATACATATATAATAACTATCTTGTTTCTAAAAAAAACTCATTTATTTATTTCATTTTTCTTAAAAATTTTATTTTTAAAAAATACATTTTAATATTATACAATTAGTAATATTATATTATATTCTTTTTAAAAATAAATTCTTGTTAATAAAAAAATTATATAGCTAAAAACAATTCTTATTATTTTTATACAAGTACTTTAAATAATAAATTAATAATATTATAAACCAATATTTTTTTATAATTGAAAATTATAAACTAATATAATATAGAATAATTACAAGTATATAATATCTATATATTTTATATATACTATATTCAATTATTCTTAATTATATTTGAAAACAGTTAAATTATATAAAGATAAAATTTCTAGTTTTTTCAATAATTGTAATTAAAAACAGATTAAAATATAAAAGATTATATAAAAAAATTTTTTTAATTTAATTTTGATAAAAAGTTTATAAATTCTAATTCAAATTGGTAATAATTATAGTTTCAAGAATTGAAATTAAACAGAATTATATAGAATTATATAAGATTTGAAACATTATTAAAAATAATAATAGATTATATCTTATCTATTAAATTTAATATAAATCTAAAAATCAAATACAAAACTAAAAAGAATTTTTAGAATTTTTAATAATGACAGACTTTATTATACAATTTAAAAAGATTAATTTTAAATTGATTTATTTCAATTTAAAGTTTGTAAGTTTATTCTAATTGTAATATTTTATAGAATTTAAATATATAACTAAAAAGTAAGATATTAATTATAGATAATAAAAATTTAGGCAAAAATTATTAAGTCAAATATATCTAATAAGAATCATACAAGATTAAATTGAAATTCAAACAAGAATATCAGTTTCACAAATAATAATAATAATAATAATAATGCTGTATTATACTAATAATATATTTTAAAAATTGATAATAATAGATAATTGAAATAATTGAAATTAATTTTTATAATAATATTTCATATGATCTTTCTTTAGCAAGCAGTTAAAAAATATAATTGAACCAATAGAAGGAATAGAGTTAAACTAATGATAGGATTTTTTTCTCTTGTGTAAATATTACTTGAATATGAACTTATTTATAAGATATAAACTGACTAATTAGAATAGTTAGGTTGGCTTAAAAAAAACCAATATTATTAAAAATAATAAATACTAGATAGTATTAATTTATATTTAAAATATTAATAGTCTAGTTTATAAAAATATTTAATAGAATAATAGAATATTAATTATTAATAAAAGTTTCATATCTAATGCTTTTAACTAATTAAAAAAATAAAAAAAAAGGTAATTTGAAATTTAATTATTTTTATAACCAGAATTAATAAAAAAAAAGAATAATTGGTTAATACTTATTTTTGATAATATAGATCTTTATACAAAATTAGAAATTAATATTTAAAAAAAAATTTTAAAATTGAATCTTATTTATTAAATAATTATATTATATTTAAAAGATAAGTACAGTATATTAAATTTTTCTTTATAATATGAAAGTCAACTTTTATAAAATAACTATTTGTATTTTTATACAACAAGATATTATATTCTTATTCTAATATTATTATTAATTGAAAAAAAAATAAATAATATTTTTGTATATTTAAAAAACAAATGATAATAATTAATAAAAGAATATCACATTTTTAAATTACAATCTTTTATTAACCATAAGTTATAACTTTAATATCAAGAGTATGAATAATATATATTTTTTTATTTTTAAAATTATAATTTTATTTAAGTATTCAAATATACAACATATAGTATGTATATATGTATAAAGTTAAGTAGTGAAATATGAATATCAACTATGTGCGACCAATTTCAACGCATAGATATTTTTGGCGATTCATGAATTTCTGACGTGGAGTCAAGTTACAGGAAAGCGTGTGCATTTAAGAATGAGTGTAACTTCGATATGTAGCACGTACCGAAATTGCCACGTGACATAAACCTTGCATTGTATCACCGCGAGTAATAGATAAATGCATCCAGAAATTTATATTGCGGCAACAATTTCGAAATGTTTTACAGGCGCATTTTCTCGATAACTATAAATATCATCATCATATTTACCATACTCTTGTCTTTTAGATTTACAAAGAATGAGTTTCCCGAACAAGAACGTTCTCGTTTTACCGGATATTTGACATGGCATGGCAAACTCAGCCGTATGTATTTTTAGACAAATCAAATGTATCGTGAATCGTGAAATTCGAGATTACATCATCATATTAAAGAATCTTCAATGTTGACACAACAGATTTCGATCAAGAATCATATGACGCTTCGCTTTGGTTTTGGATAGTCATCAATGGATTGTCGGCAGTTTATGCATTTGTCTGGGCATCAAAAAGAAATTTGCCTAAAAAGGTTATCACTTATATTTACCAAGAGAATGGAAGTAGAACAACATCACACTTCCTCAACGTAATCATTGCCTACTACATCACATTTACTTTTGTCTCTGGATTTGCACTTTTCTTATTTGACAATGGCAAAATGTTTTCAACTTTTGCAGCTTTTCACAATGCCTTTGAACTGGCGATGATATTGTTATTTTTTCAAGGTGGAAAAATCACCTTAAAATATTTCTATGCCACTGTGGGTGGATATATTTTCCTCGTAAACTTATTGGATATTACACTTCCTTGGCCGATAAATGGACTTTGGTTTAAAGCTCAAGGTGAGTGAGCCTTTACCTTATGAAAGACGGTAACCATAGTGAGAATCTAAAATGTTTTTCTAAACTCCGAATATCAATGTAAATAGGATTGTGTTTGGATTTTGCCTTGTGTATTGTTTTCACACGTACTTACAAGGCTACGCAAGAATATGTTGAAGGATTAACTTCAGCTCAACTCCCCTTGGTAAATGACGAAGATCATCCGTTCGAGGAAGATTCAAGTATCTCACCATTAATTATTCAACATCCTCAACAACTCCTATTATTGATCTTCTCGTCAGCAATTCACATTGTTGGAAACGCTTTTGCGGCACTTTTTCCCTCTGATGGTTGGGGGTGAGTAAAACAGACTAAATGTTATTTCTCGAAAATCTTAATGAAATTTGTATAATAATATTTTTTATTTGTTTGTTTTCTTTAATAGTGTCATCGTATTCATTCTTAGTCACTGTATTTCGTTCCCTGTTTATGCACTCTACGTCTATTTTGATACACATTGTACCAGCGTTTTACAATCAAAAAGAATTTTATTGCCCGAAACTTCAGTTTGGAAGATTGTGGCCATTTCTATATGGTCGATCATTTTTTCCGTTCTCACGATGCGGTTATCTTTAGTATTTTTCTAACATTACTAAAAAAAAAAAAAAAAAAAAGATAGAATAGAAAACATATATTTATTATTGGCAGTATGGAAAAATTGAGGAGAAAGGTCCTCGCTTTGGTTAGGAAGGCAGGACGGTAATTTATTGTTTATTTAAATTAACTAAAGTTTATAACGTTATGAGAAAGGAGTATATTGCTAGAAAAAAAAAATTACACGTCTGTTAAGAATTTAAATTTCCTTTATTTGAACGACTCATTTTAATCAAGACTTGGTAAATCAAATCCTAGAGAATTGGCATGCCCATACCCAACACCTTGTTTTTAAGAAACAACGGTGAAAGCCTTGAGCCGTATTTTCCATACGTTCCTCCACTGCTACCCTGGTATGTACCACCAGCGGCCACATTTGAAGAGTCCGATAGTTCTGTGGCTTGGCCGGCGCTTTGATTAATTGCACCGTTAGAGCTGGTAGCCGAAGTGCCAACCGGATAATTCTTGAGTTTTCCATATCCTGTACCACCGAGGAGACCCAAGGAACCAGCGAAAGGAATGATCCCGCGTCTGACGAGATTCGAGGAGTGGACGTAAAAAGGCTGATCAACAAACACCAATGGAACAGGAATAGATTGTATATTGACGACGAGTAGCAAGAATGAAGTTAGAAATATTATTTTTGTGACGGTTCGAATCATCCCTTGAATATTTTCGATTAGAATGTGCAAACGAAACGAAAAGGTTCCGAACGTTTGGCAACTTATGTACAGTACGTACATTACAAGGCGATGTCAGAGTTGATTTGATAGATCATTGATACTGTGCAAATTTTCATCAAAATTACGCGTCGACTAACAATGCATATTGATTTCGATCTAGTCTATGCATCATAGCGTTGACTTTCTCTGTATCGTTTCGTTCACATCTGATAAAAAGAATAAAAGAATTCTATAATTTAGAAATCTGGGAAGTGTTATCTTTCTATCCAAAGTTTTTGATGTAAAAAAAAACAAAAATAAAATTCTTGTAAATTACTGTTCGAATAGTACCTGCTAGAAATTTAGAAATGAGGGTTATCGCATATATGATTTACGTTTTCATGAAACTTGAACGGACGTCCAACTCCAATAACATATCGCTATGTGCAGTTTATTTGCCAAGAACTTAAGTAGCACAATTAATTACGGTATACTGTATTTTTTTTCAAAAACATGTAGTGCATAGACAGGTTGTGTAAGCGCTTCAAACCCTCTCGAGTGGTAGTTATTTTTCAGCAACTACATTGCTATAAGGAAATGACTTAACCTGTCATTAAATTCAAAGAAAGTTCTTGCCAATCAAATTTTGTTGACAAAAACACAAATAACACATCAGATGTGTATGTACCATCACTAATTCAAAAATTTTCAAGATACGTAATGGAAATGGAGAATGATGCAGTTGATTCACAAAATTCGGAGAATGATTTTGTAATATTTCATGATGGTGATAATTTCTCAACAGCTGAAGCCGAAACAACTATGTTCAATAGTAGTAGTTGTGAGGAAGGAAGCGGTGAAAGTGAATACGAAGAAGAGGTAATCATTGAGCAAAAGTGCATATGATCTTGATCCTTAACATATTTCATCTATCTCTCCTCCCATAAAGGAATCATACATCATTCTCGACTTGGGAACAGAAGTTACATTGGACATGATAACAACTAACGATAGCTTAAAAAATATTTATAATCCAAGTACATACCATTTTACTTCGTTTGCTGCCTCAAATTTCCCCGTACGACCACCCGACAAAAACAATGGTGGCAGTGGAGAAGGTAGTAGCGGCACGCAGGTTGCTGTTGATCCCTCAGCAGAAAATGTAGCAATAGACAATGAAAGTGCCGAAAGCAAACAGACCGAAAAAGAAGAGATAACCTATTCCTTGATCGTAGGTGGCTTGTGTATCATAGTAATAGATCTGGAATTAAATGGATCGCTTATGTGTATATATCATATTCAAAATCCCATAGGGACTAGATACTGAAAGTCCCAGGTTGCGCATTGGAAACATGCATTTCAAAGGGGAATATGATGAATCTGTTGGAACTGATCTGATTTTCTTGCAAGATCCCGGTATGTTTGATCCAACATACTTTTCCCTTTTCATCTATTCTAATACATGAAACTTACATGGCAATTGTAATTGGGAAAGATCCTTCGAATCCTCGACAACAGATGCTCACATATAATTGTCACACCACCAAAAAAATCGTCTTTTCAAGAGTCTCGCTGCAGCCTAGCAGTAAAGCGAAGAATCCAGAAGAAGTTGATCGATTGGAAGATGAATATTTTAAGGGTGGTAGAAATTATTGGGATGATATGTCAAGGTCGGAAGCCACAAGAAAATATTCACATGAAGAGCCATGGGTTATCGATCGAGAGGGTGAAAACGATAGTCTAGAAAATCCACCGGTTGACAAAGGAAAAGGAAAGGAGGTCGATTTGAGCGATAATGAATACCAAAGTAATAGAATGTTAATAGACTAGATCGATGACGAATGGTTTAACTAGACTTCTAATCTGTTTTGACATGGTCAATATACAATCTTGAATGAAGAATGTGATATACTAACTGACCTTTACCCGCAGCCCATATACTACTGCACGTGTGTACTCATGTACTCATACTACTTGTTGAAAGTTTGGTAATGGCATATTCTGCTATGAATATAGTAAGAATAATTATATATGTTTAAATCACGCCTCTACAGTATATTTATGTTTATTTATGTTTCGCGTCATCAAGCTGTCTTTTTGAGACCATGTTATCATATCATCTGATTTTTTTAATAAATGGCAACTTCGTATCCTCCATTTTTTATTATTATTAAAATATGATGCAAAAATGTTCCCGAAAAATATGAAAATCGTGGAAATGTTTCACCATAAAAACTATTTAACCGTCAGCAAAGTAATTATAAATTGATTGATATTTTATAACCAATTTATAGTAAGATTAAAAATTATTTACAGTACTTTTGTGCAATCTTTTTGCGTTGTTTGCTTCCTTCCTTCCTTTCTTTTTTTTTTTTTAAAAAAAAGGAATTCAAACTAATTCAACGACATGTAAAATAACTAGTAGGCTACATGTAGATGCAAAATAGAGTGGTTATCACCAAATTAATTTGATAAACCTTCGTCTCTTTCATATCTTTCGTTCCTCGCCAGTTATTAGTGGATGGTACGTTTTCTTTTATGAACTACTCCGGGATTTTCAAAATTTTGTTCGGACGAATCATACCTCTTTGCATTCTTTATTTGTGATATCATTTTGCGGCCAGGATACATGAAGAATGATGATTGTGTCGATTCGTTTCCTCCGTCAGTGTGCTTAAAAATAGAATCAATGACGCTGACCGTAGGTAAGCTCGTTTCGGCTTTCATCTCGACGGAACACGATCCTGATTCTGTCATCGCATTATCATTCGTTTGTGATAATGCACTTGGCCCAGGTTTTCCGCATTGCATACGATTTTCTGATGCGTTCTTGTTAAAAGTGCTTGAACCCGGAGTTTCATAAGATGGTTGACTATTCGTTACCAATTGATCTCCTGGACGAGCGGTAAACATTTTGGATGTATTTCCGTTCACTTTATTGAGGGTCTCGACTAATCGTTCCGCCACTTTGATTAAACTTGTTGGTAACTTTCCTTTTGTTTTTAACGACTTTTTTGGTAATTTGTCCTTGTTTCTTCTAAACCTTTTCTTCAGATCATTATCGTTTGTTTTAAGATATTTCGTATTGAAAACTTTCATTTCATTTCGGTACCGAATTCTCGCTGCATTTTGTCGATCTCGATATTTCTAAAATTACATGATTTATCTCGTTAAATGAATTCAGTAAGCGCGTGGTCAATATCGTGATTTACCTTCTTTTCATCCTCCGACATTCCACGCCATTCCAACCCCGCATATTTCATCACTTGATTGAGAGGATGATCCGGTTTTTTTACTTTGTATTCCTTGTAAAAGTCTTCGAAGAAATATCCGAATGAGCCTTTAGGAATTGTTGGTAATTTCACAGGCTGTTCGGTTTCTTCAATCGTGGCAAGCATATTGACTTCACCCGATGTCTGAGGTGTCTCATCTCCATAATTTTGTTTGAAGTGAAAACCGTCTACCTTCCCAGAAACCGTTTTGTTCGATTTATCCCATTTTTCGCATTTCCTCTGTTCAAATTCGACTATGAGTTTTCGTTTTTCAGGTAGTTCTGTGACGAAACCATCAAACATGATCTTTGGTCTTCGAGTACCATCTGCACTTCTAGTATTATATCGACGACCTGAATGCTGAACGTGTTTTTTCGCCGCTCCACCTGAATCCTTATTTAGGTGGATAGTTTTATCGCCTTTCTTTTTCTTATTCTGAATATTTCCGATATCTTTCGCGCTTTGTCTAGAATCCATCATTTCAGTGAAACTGTTGCCAAAGCTATCCTCATGTGTCATCTTGGATATTGCATTCTTTTCGGCAGGCGTATCATGATTTTCCGTGAAAATTTGTGTCGGTTCGAGATTGTCGTTTGAGTTCTGACAAGGATATTGACAATCCGGTGAACTTGTGGTACCATGTTCGTTAGAATCTTGGTTGTCGGTCGCTTCTCCAATGTCGTCCTTCTCAAGATATTCTTCCAGACTGTCTAGTGTTGAAAGGATCTGATCTCGAGGTCCTTGGTCGAATCTTAACCCGTGAGGAAGCACTTGCAATAATTCATTGCACGTCGACCGGGACTGATTGATTGCACTTTTGACATTTTGAACGACCGTTACAACCTAAGTGACGTATTTTGTGTAGTTTAGAGCATTATAATATTTTTATTCTATCCAAACAGTTAACTCACTTCTTTCTGTTTAGAAACAATCATATTGTCATTTAACCCAGACGTATTTAAAAATTGTGTTTGCCCGAGAACTGGGGCCATAAGAGTTGATTCACTTGAGACACTATTAGTTAAACCTTGTTGACCCGTTATGTCTTCGGGAAGTTGAAAAATTGATCGTCGCATCTGAATTCAAGAGTTAGTGCAACATTAGTACTAAGTCGTTCATGCTATTCCACAATCTCATTTGGCATTGGATTTATATGACGAAAGATTTAAAGTTCGTAAAAAGTTGATAGAGATGTGTTTATATGAATAGCTTAATTCTCGTCGCATTTATGATACGTTTAACCCAGGACCTTTTCCAGTTCGAGAACACATTTTTAACACTCACTAGTTCGGCCTTATACGCGGATCGCGTTCTTGGCATTTTGTAGACACGTATTAAAATGTAGCTATGGAAACGGGACAAGATATATTAATGAGTCAATCTTTCAAAAAGACTACAATCGTTAGGCATTTAATAGCATATACAATTGATGAATTTCAGAAAACGGTAAAAATGCGATACAAATTCTACGCACCTGGTTCTTGTGATTTTTTAAATGAGATTTGCAACAGAAATCTAAAAAGTTTTGTAATGTTAAATCCTTAAAATAAGTACATGCAGAGTTACTTATAATCACTCTTTTTACAACATCGGGATCCCAGGATACGCTTTCTTATGCTTGAGGATTAGAGATTTTAGCAAAAAATCAATTTTTACGACAAGCCGATCGAATGAAGTGGCTTTTTACCATAAGCAAGACGGGTTTTTCTAGCGCCTGATTGGATGATCCGGTATGCAAACCGACGAATTTGTCAAATTTCTACTTTCTTCGCGAAATTTTATCATATACCTTTTGTACAACAGGCACTAGGGTCCAACAGTATTGCACGTAGATAGGAAATTGATGCGAGAAATTTTTTTTTTTTTTTTTCACAATTGAACGTCTTGTCACACGAAGCTCTGCACGACCCGAAAAACAAACGGTGACGATTAACGCAACGAATACTTTTGGTGAACGAACGATCAAAAAAATTTTACGTGATGTCTGGATTTACACCCAGAAATTCTTAATCAACTTGTTAATAAAAATTGGTTGACGAATTTCTCGCGTAAAGAAAGGTTCAAGTTTAAAAAGGTCAAACTGTGTTATATTAAACACGATCTTGCGTCCTCGAAACCTAGATTCTAGATGAAAAGTTCAAGATTGTCAAACAAAATATGATTAAAAAAAAGTTTTTAGGCTGCAATAATTTCTCACGACTTTACGAATTTATTCAAGGAATAACTTGTGATGCGACTCAAATGTTCCGTTATAGGATGAACATAACTTTAATGGCAAATGGAATACATGGCATTTTTCTTAAACGAGTATTACTCAGCTAACTATTGATCTGATTACTCATCGTAGCAACAATCAAATTTTGTTTTTCTGTTTTTTTTTTTTTTTTTTCTGTTAACGTAACGTAATATCAACGAATAATTTTTATCTCTTTTTTTTTTTTCATTTAATAGTCTCGAAATTATAAGGGTATACAGTAAGTTTTTGTTGTTTTTTGAAGATACAGTACATTGAAATTTTTATGTTACAAGGGTTAAAAAAATTTTTTTTAATATAATATAACTGATCGTATTTAAAAAAAAAATTTTTTTTTATTTATAATTAATTGTTTTTTATTAATGTTTTTATTAACAGTTGTATTAATTCAAAACTTGATATTTCTTAAAAGTCTTATATACCGTATATTTGTAGATAAATAAATCTTATTACTTTATTAGATATATTAAATGGATGTAACAGAGTAATATATTAAAAGAAGTAGCAGTATCTTTTAATAACCGGTAATATTATATTATTAACAAGTTTAATATTTATTTTTATATAATATCAAATAATTATAAATACTATGATCATTTAATATAAACTTATTAATGATCAAATAAAAAATTAATAAAAATAGAATTTTTAGATTTGTTTAAAAAAAAATTATAAAGATATTTAATTATATTAACAATATTATATTTAATTATATTAACAATATTATTTTTAAATATTTAAATAAAATCATAAAAAGCTTATGGATTTAAAATATAGTAAATAGTATTTTTGAAATATAAAACCCATGTTTTTAATTTAGTATTTATAGAAAGCAAATATAAAAATATATTCTTTATATATAAGTTAATTGGTTTTCTTATATATATTATATCTAAATAATTTTTTTTTACTGTTAAGGTGAGACATGTCTCATGATCTTTATTAATACGTAATTATTATTATTACATGGTTAATTT